AAGAAACTTCCTTATTTGTTGAGCGCGCTTTTTGTTTAGATTCTGCACTTAATTGGTTTTGCGCCTCCGGACTGAGACCGAGTTCTCTCTGATGCCCGAGTTTTGATTAGGTGGCAAAGCTATTAGCAAATTGAATATTGGTCAGGACTGTGGGAAGGTGCACAGAGATAGTGCATGTCTATTTAAACTATAACGAGAAGATGCAAGATCAAAGCACTAGGGAATGTTAAAGAATGTTTAAGAGGTTTGTGTTTAAAGATAAGATTAAGGATTCATTTCAATTTGACATTAAACGGAAAATTATTGGGGACTTAATTTATTAGTTTAAGAAATGGTTCTGGAAAACTTTATTAGTTTGTTTTTATTAAATTTTGGCAGATAGATGGACAGATATTTTATATAATATCATTATTACTATTAAATGATTTCTCAAGAAGTAGTTTTTGAATTTTTTAAATTCATAAACTTTGAATTATATATAAATACAATACAAATATAGATAGTGAAAAAATGGTTCTGGAAAACTTGATTAATTTGTTAAAAAGAAGTTTTGGTGTGGTGTTTATTTATTTATTTATAGTTAACAAAGAACTGCCAACTTTGCAAGAAAAATAACAATATAAATATAAAATAATAATAAAGAGAAAAAAGAAACAACTTATAAATATATGTACAAAAAAATATAACTTAAAATAAAATTCAACAAGTGTAACCTAGTTGTAGAGTAAGATAGAATTAGAGACTGTAAGAATCAAGTCGCAAGTATATTAATGATGAACTAGTCTGAATGGAGTGTTCAAAGGATATGTTGTGTGACCAAATCTGGCTGCTAATAATCCTGAAAACTATTTGGAATAACTTGCATATTAGATACCGTTTTCAAAGGGGTTCTCAGAAAGCGAGATAAAGGAAGAGACAGAGAAGAAGAAAAACCAGGCACATCCAGATTTATGCCGCTAATGCATTTAAATGTATTTCCAGAGGAAGTTGCTACTCACAATCGGTGCTAGATCTCCAAATCTGTGGTTGTGTACATCCTTTTTCTTTGAAAAACTTCCTGCAGGCCTGGCAAGGACAAACGTGCCTTCGCACATGCGTCAACAATTTGTAAACCTTCATTTCAATTAAGACACATAAATCACGACCAAATCAGCATTCCCATCGTCATCACAATCATCATCATTATCATCGGCATCGTTATCCACACACGTTCAAGTACGTTGCGCACTTAAGCGATGGTTTGGGCATGCGCAGGCGATTCAACCTGAAGGAGAGGAGCCGACCCTTTTCCAACTCGTTCGAGGGCTCGTTTCATTTTGCGCCGCCTGTGCGAACGAACCAATTTAAACGGCGCATCGGACAAAGGCGACTTAATCCTTGTCATGCCGCGCATGCGCAGCAGCAAGGAACGCTCGTTCCGAGCTCGTTACTTGCAATTGCAGCATTTATTGCTGCGAGTCTCTTTCTCTTGCTCTGTCTCTGACTCGGTCATGAAACTGCTGCTTCACGCTTCGACAAATGCCCTTTGTGCCCAGTGTTGAAGTGCAGCGGCAACAAATTGCATCAGATACACGGTCAGCCATCCAAAAGATACGAACGGCAACTTATTAGGCGCATTTCGGCAACGAGCTATTTATGTAAGTGCCTCAGGGCCAGGCAGCGGCAAAGGTAAAGCCAGCAGAGGGCACACGATTGAGTTGCAAATAGCTGCGAGGAGCATTAAACGTGCGCCACAGTTGCAGGCAGCAGCACATAAGTGTAAGAGTATCTTTAAGATACAAGTACTTTGTGGGAAGTTGCTAGCTGCTCAGACGGCCTGGCGTTAAGTGCCGCCCGCCGCATTCGTTGCGCCACTCAAACAAGCCCCCTACTACTAAATGCCAATGTCAATCACCTGCTGTGTGGCACTTGAAATGCCAGAGCATCTGAGCCTTGGGCAGGACAACAAAAGCACCGCAAGGATAACCAAAATAGCCCTAAAAACAATGCTACAAAAGCTGTCAAAACGAAATTTAAGACAAACAATGAACCGTGAAAAAATAAAGAGAAGAAAGAAGTAAGAATACAAGGAAAACACCGGCAAGGTGCTAGGGCCCAAATATTTTGTTAGTCGCACCGGAAAATCCCAATAAACCAAAAACAACAACCAGCCCAACAGTACCTGTAAAGTCAAAGACGCTAATAACAAGCAACAGGTAAGCAGCCCAAAGAACAAAACGCTTTAAAGAGAGCGCAACAGATGCGAAGAGAATCGAGAGAGTGTGGAACAGATATGGAATCTATGGAATTTCGAATGCAGTGTGGAACCTAAGGTTGAAGGAAAAGTAAAAAAGTGCCGGCAATAAAGGAAAATAGAAGACAATTATAGCCTAAGGTTAATTAATTACAGCTCAAGATTCATTTAATTAACTAGATCTGTAATTTTAGGCAAGGCATTACAAAATAAATGTAATAAATAATACATGTAATAAATAATAAATATACACTAACGTAAAGAAAACAGCTTGGCCTTTAACCCATCAGTTTTCATCCAAATTTATTATTTATTTATTTCGGACAAAGAACAGTCAATAAAAAAATATGTAAGCAAACAAAAATAATCATAATAAATATTCATTTCAATACAAAAAAGGTAAATATTGTTTTTTATTTACCTAACAATTTAAATTACAAAAATTCTTTAAAAAAAGAGTAGAGATTTTAGATTGCAAAAAAATATTTGTTTCTAGCCTTAGGAAATTCAGTACACTTGACCTCATCAAATTGACGGAGGTCTTAGGGCCAAATAGATGAGTAAATTGATTGTAATTGTTACCAACTAACCATGTCAAAATAATCAATTATATAATTAAAAAAGAAAGCTAGTCAAACGACTACAGGGCATGAAAACGACACTGACTTCCCCTTCCACCTTGCAATACTTCTTTTTTTCTTCTTTTGTTGAAATTTTGCTTTTTGGGGATCTAGCGGGTGGAGCAATTGGGATACCAGGCCTTAAGCCGGGTGCTCTGAGTAGTGAGGGTGTACTAGCACCTGCTCCTTCAACTAAAATGTCCAATAGCTTATTCCTATTTGATGGTTACTCTCTGCAAGCAGCATAACGCTTTTTAAAATCGTGGTGCTTTACAAAATTATGTATTTTGATTGTTATCCGTTCAAGAATTTTATTCAAACAACATACTCAGAATCAATAAAATAATTCCTCACTAATATTTATTTATTCAGAAATATAATCAAAATCATAGATAGGCGATCTATATATGTACATATGTATATATTCCCCGTAATATTTACCAATTTCCAGAAGTCTGATCAGCTTGAAAAAATGTTTTTTTCAATTATATTTGTATTGAAAAACTGCATTTTCGAAAATCTTGTAAGCTAATATTTGATAGCTTGCAATTAAATTTAACCTTATCTTCTGTAAATGAAATAAAAATATATATTTTATCAATTACATTTTTATTAAAAATTATATTTTTATTGAAAAACTGAATTTTTGAAAATCTTGTCAAAGCTTGTCACGAAATTTGACATTCTCTTCTGTAAATTAAATAAAAATATATGTTTTCAATTCTATTTTTATTAAAACACTTTATCAATCTTTTAAGCTTATAATTGATAGCTTGTAACGAATTTTAGAGTTCTGTTTTATAAATGAAATAAAAATATGTTTTTTAAATTATATTTGTTAATTAAAAAACTTCACTAATCTTGTAAGCTAATATTTAAGAGCTTGTTGCGATATTTTGAATAGGACGCGCAAGCTTTCTAGAATTATTCTATGGTTCTGAAACAAATGTTGCATGAACAACCAAAGAGTAAATTCGATGCGATCCACAACCCACACACACACACAGACACACACACACACACACACACACACACAGAAACAAACGCATACGCATACACATAGGCAATGCATTTTAGTCTGCTCTGCTCAGCTCAGCTCTGCTCTGTCAGACCGAACAGCCTGTGGCCAGACGATCGGATCGGCCAGAGCAGACAGAGCAGCCACTCGGGGGCCTTCGTGGTCGGCGTCGCATCAGTTTGTGTTTGACGGTCGTTTGCGTAGGACGCAAGGCGCACGAGTTAGCATCGGAGCGAAGTCGGAGCGAGTCGACACGATCGAAGAATCGAAGCGCTCGATTAACGGGTGGCGGTAACGGTGGCGCGGCCTCTTTGCGGTTGATAGGCGGTGCAATGCGATAAATGAGCGAGTCATAAAAATCAATTGATGATATAGTAATAGAGGAATAAAAATAAGAGTGCATTTATAATTGAGGAGGTGACAAAAGTGGGGACGACAGTGCTTCTTCTATCGGCAAGTGCATCCCCTCGCATCTCTCTTGTTTTTGCGGTTTTGAGGATATACAGAAATAGCCCTAGAGAAGTTTGTCGTTGTGGCGAAATATGCGCAAAGAAAATAAAAATAAAATTAAATAGCGCAAATATGTTGCAACAGAAGTGAGTGCAGTAAGTAAGAAATTTGCGGCCAGACAAGTGCGCCGCAATAAATTAAATAGAAAAAAATCATATATATGTACATATATACTTAGTATATATAAAGCAGGCTGCAAATTATACATACATGCATGCGTATCTATGTATAGTAAATAGCAAAGTGGGGCCGAGGAGTGTGCACAAATAATAAAAGAAATAAAAAGTGAGTGTAAAAATACAAACGCAGTCAACAACACGACGACGTCAACTGACAAGCGGAAACCATAAAAAAAGTATTACAAAAATAAAAATATGAATGAAAAATTCTAGGAAATGCGTTTGCATGTGTGGTGCGCGAGATTTGAAAAGTCGTTTTTTTTTTGTAAAGCATTGTTAAATAAAAGGTGCTCCATTATCAATTAGGCAGCTTTCAATGTCAAGCTGCTAAAATGTTGGGCATTTAATGTGTGGTGGAAAATAAAAAGTGAATTAAAAGAATGTATATGTGTTTTAAATCGTATAAAATGCTGCATCAAATGAGAGTCAAAGGGCCTTATATGTGGCCAATTTTTTTGATCCTGCTGCTGCTGGTCGTGGCGACAAATTCCGTGCTGGCCAAGCGCCAATGGCAGAACAAGCGTCTCAAAAGCTTATCGCCCGCACAAATGCTCAAGGAATATACACAATCCATGACTAACAATGTGAGCTCCACGGAAGTGCTGGATGCCAGCATTGTATCCTGGACTGGTGCCCAAATAATGCACTCGAAACAACAACAAAAACAACAGAAACAACACCTACAACGTCTGGAACAATTGGGCGGGCAAACGCGTCGACGCAAAACCAAAAGTGGCCTATTGATCGAAAGTAACATTGCCGAGGAGGAGTTGGCCAACAACAAATTGCCAAAGAAATTCACGCAACGGCGACGCAAGGGACGCTTGCAACGCACTGGAGGCGGCGCAGGCAACGGGGGAGGAGGAGGAGGAGGCACTGGTGGCAAGTTGAATGCCAATGGTAAGGCAATGTGTAACTAACTGTTGCTTAGTTAGCCAAAAGTGCAGTGCTACCAATACTAAATATGGTCGATAGTTGATACATTGTTTAGAGTCGAGTTGACACTGCTGGACTGGTGTTGTGCAAAAGACTTTGAATAGGGGAACTACTAGTTCTGCACTGCTAGGTTTCATTCTTATAAAGGGGGATTTTAATAAGGTATAAGTTCTGATATAGACCATTTATGAATAGAGCTAGTAATTCTTGTAATGGTACAAAACTAGTTTGATTTATTTGTTATTTTGAACGGAGAAACTAGTTCTTTAATGCTAGAATTCATTCTTATTAAAGCCGATTTTATTTGAAGGGAACTTGTTTTTCAAAAAGGATGTTCTTATAAAGAACATTTATGAACAGAGCTACTAATTCTTGTAATGGTAGCCATTTTTTTCTGTTTTTTTATAATAATGAAAATAACTTTTTAGATTCAAACGTTGAATTTTCAATATTTCTTAAAGGCAAACATTTTGTTTCACAAATTAACTCATTAAAGAAAATCGTTTCTAAATTTCTTCCAGTTTTTGGAATATTTTCACAATTTTCCAATTGAAAGCATTTTCAAAGTTAGGCCGTAAGCATTACAACTGCTTTCCACAAGAAATATAAAACATATTTTCATTCTTTACAATTTAATGGAAGTTGTTGGTCAGATCTAGACAGGAAGTTATAAGAAGTTGAAGGCCCTTTATAACAACAACAATGGAAAATATCTGCAACTTTTTATTAAAAACAACAGTGATTTAGTTTTAAAAAATAATTTCAATTTCAATTTATTTACATTTTTTAAAAAACATTATGAATTAACAAGCAGCTTAGCCTTTTCTACTTAATTAAACAAAATGGAGAAATTAAAATGCTTAACAACATTTTAAAAAATAACCTTCAAGCAAAGGGTAGCTTTAATAACTGAAAGAAGGAATTCTTTGAATTGAGTTCCTTCTTCCAGCACCAGCACAAGCAGAATCTGCAGTTGATCGGTCGCATTTGTTCGAGGCACGTACTCTACTTGACAACAGCTTCTCAACGTGGTCTAGCCATTTGGGCCTGGTTGGTTTCTTGATGCTGCTTGTGGTCAGCAACTTGGCAACCGCTTGTCCACAGCAATGAGTATCGTGTCCATATTTGGGCGCTCAAGTTGAAAGAACTTTCATGTGAAAGTTGTGACAGGAAGAGATTTTTGTAATTCTATATGTTATTACGTGAGAGGTCCAGTTATGGTCTCTGAGTTGTCTTCGTCTCTGTGGTTAACTGACTAAGTAGTATTAGCGATTCCTGTTGTCGGCTTTTGGCGAAACTACTTTTTGCAATGTAGCTAGAGTTTCAAGAACAGTTTGGTTTGATGGGAAATATTTAATGGATTAAATTCTTGATATGCTTAAGGATATATTTTTCAACGTATTTCAATTGATTTAATCGTAAAAACCATTAAGTAACTATTAAAGAATTTAATGATTGAATATTAGATTGAAACTTGTAGAGCTAAACTGCAAATTTCATTGAAGGGATTTTATCTAAAATATATGTATGTTCTATTTTTAAAATAATGGATAAAAATAAATATTTTTTAGCTTAGCTTAATTTCAAAATTACTTCTTACCTTTTCGCAATATTCTAACAAATTTTAAATAAAGTCTTGTGGACAAAGACACAATTGGCCGGCAATTGAACCCTTTATGAAAGAACAAAACTGATCCGATGAGGAATTCAAGCATAATGCTCATAAGTATATACGCGTATATATATTGCATGTTTGTGTGTTGTGTTTGCCTGTTCCGGTCATTTGTTTAGACTTTCTCAAGCACATACAAACATACGAGTATGACCCCGAGATGGCCATTAGGTCCGACCATGGCGACAACAATAGCGCCAGCCTTCTGCCAAAGATGTAGGCTTTCTTGTTGTTGTTGTTGTTCGTGTTGCGGTTCTTGTAATTGCGTTGCGCTATAACTAACAACTAACAACAACAGGAACAACAATGGACACAATAGGCAATTGTTAGTAGTCTGCTAGGTAGGTGTACCCACACACTCACACACACTCACACACACACGCACATATGACGTTTAGGTTGAAGAGGATAATAGATGGACTTGGCATGCGGGGCTGCGTATCTTTTTTTTCAGAGTTTTTCGTTTTTTTTTTTTTTTTTTGGCATGTCATGCCCACAAAATGTGAACACGCGCTAATAGGAAGCGGGCATCTCGAAGAGAACACATGTGCCCTGCGCCTTCTATTGGTAGGTGTTGCCCTCTCGGAACCTTACAGAGCACGCATAGAACACAGCCAGGGTTTATTAAATTTTAGGCTGGTTATAAAATTAAGTGGCTTATCGTGTCTATGCCAAGCTGTCGTAAAAATTGCTCAGAGTCTTAGGCATTCGTTTTGAATATGCATTCCTGTGGTTTGGCGTCTTTTTAGGGCTTATGAGTGGCACTAATAGAACCACATGAGCTCGCCTGCCACTGTGGTAGTCGAGCATGTTTTTAAAACATTTCCAGCCGCTCTTTGTTGCTAATGATTATGGTGGAAGGGCTTATGATAATGATTTGTTAATAGAATTCGTTGTTGTTGTTGTCTGTTGTTTTGAAAACATGATTGGCCTGCTAAGATAAAGATTTTATAGCGGGAATTATGTGGAACGTCTTATGATTCGCATAAAGCATCAACATGGGGAAGATGTAAACTGAAGTTGGATTGTGGAAAACAATAACATATAAAACAAATGTCGAATAGGAAAAGAATAAACTTGTCTAAAGAAACTTACAGAACAGAACTATATTTCGAATGTATAACTTTTTAAACTGAGAAACGATTTGACAATAAGATAAATACTTTTGCTAATGCAAACTGCAAAATGGTTTAAAGTATTTTAATTTGGTAAGCCAAGGACTATTCGAAATAACTGGATAGTTGAGAAGACTTTTATGCTCTGTTTTAGAAAATACGAAAGTATTTGATTTAAGAAAAAGGCTTTGTCTTTTTCTCTTTAAAAAGTATTTTTTATAAACTTTTTCTAAAATGAAAAAAATACAAGTATATATGAATATTATAGAAAACAAGGTTTAAAAAAACACATTTATTTTTTAAAATTTGTTACTAATACATTTTCTATTTTATAATTACAATATTGTATAGTTTTGAATGCGGTTTAAATTTATTTATTCACGACAACTTATAATATTATATTATTATATTGCAAATGAGGTAACTCTTTTTTTGCCATTTCTACTTCATTATACAAAATGAAGAAATATAAATTTAATACTACTGGTAACATCGTAAAGGGGAACAATTTTAAAACCCAGTGTTGATTAGAAATAATTGCAATACACCAAAACTTGTAACCGTTTTAATTAACTTGCAACTTAAACATTTACATCAATACATTTATTTTGTTATATTTCTAGACGGAAGAAAAATTTAATTATTAACGAGTATTTTTTGGAATCCTCTTAATACGGCAATAAATAATAAATTCACTAACAATTTATACGAGAAATGTGATTACATGCCAGTTATATACTTTCGTTCACTGAAAAACTATAAATTGCTTGCATTCAGTTGCATATGTATTATTCATAAACAATTTTGCTTTGGAAAGTGATTTATGGCGAACGTAAAAACCATTTCGAACACGACTTTCAATCAAAAGCTCAGCACAACATCTGTACTGCAGTCTCTCTCTCTCGGCTACCTAATGATTGCAAATCAAATGCGTCTAATAGTTTTCTAAATCAATCAGTTGTAAATATATATAAGCATCAAACGAGTGGAAGAGACCCGCAAAGCAGCCGCTATAGCACCATCAGAGTTGGGAGCTAAGAGTGGGGTGGGGAAGTAATTTGATTCTCATTGCGAATTGATAGAGCAAATTATTGGCGATTATCTATATACTTGTATATATGTATATATGTATATATGTATATGTATGGCCGAGTTTAATTGCTTGGCGTTGACTATTAATAAAGGCAGGCAAGTAGCTGCGGCAGCGTTGTGTACACAACTCAGTGTTCAACAGCTATTGGAATTAATTGATTGATGGCTTGTTTAGATTAAGAAAACGAAAGTTTCATAAGAGCCGAGCGGCTGGCGAGCAAAATGGGTCACTAAGCCAGAGTCTCAAATGATCCAAGCGACAGATATTTATAAGAAATACTGATAGATACTACACCATGACTCCATGCTTGACCCACGCTCTCTGCCAATGCATTTCCGTTCATGTTGTTGTAATTATGTGCTGTTGTTGTTGTGGCTGCTGCTGCTGCTCCTACTGTAGACTAAGCCATGGCTAATCAGACATACATACGCGCACTTTATCAGCGCATAACTGTCGTGTATCTTGTGGATACATTCTTTCAACTGAAATCCATAAGTCATTGAAAAGGCCTGTTTGCTCACATTTCTACACACAGAAGCTTTTCAGTTGCCGTTGCGTTGCTTTCCCAGCAAAGTTGTGTCTTATTTGCTCTTGTTTTTTTTTGATGGTACTACCAACATTCAATCAAATGGAAGGCTAAAACCCGACGATTATATACCCTTATTTTTAAAAGAACTTTTGTATTCTGAAAAATCTGCATACTAGAGGTGTGATTAAAAGTTCTCCATTTGGAACAACAGCAAATAAAACTACTACATTGCTGATAAAAGCAAAGATATATTTTTTAAAAGTTTCCAAAATGTTCAACTGATTTTCCTTTAGTTGTCTGCTAATCAACTGAGTTGACAAACCAACAAGTCTTTCTGCCACGCCTCTACTGGAGTGTTACGCCTAAAGGGTATACAAAAGCATATGCGACTAGGAAAATGTGTGAGATATGCATTCTTCATTTGGTTTCTGTTTGTTTCTAGTTAACTGCATTACACAATACCAGCAAATACAACAACACAACTCACTGGCTGATGTTAAAAATGTAGACTTGTGGGAAAATGCACGT